TACTCTTCACAATATTTCTCTCTTCATCGTCAGTTTCTGTAATCCAAACCATTTCTTATTGGCAACGATATATCTTCAATTTTCAGAAAATTCTCTTCTCACTAATTTCTGAAAACTCTTCGCCAATATTTTTTACTTTCTTCTAAGTACTTTGTACTGTCTTGTTTTGCCTCTGACATTTTTCTGGGGTAAAAAATGATCGGTATTACTATAGCTATCAAAATAAAATATAAGGTTAATGGTACTTACCAAGACTTTCTAATTTTGCATTTTTCTTACACTAAAAAGCTATTTTCAATCTAAAATTTGATATTTTCTTGAAGTTATTCTGAGCTATTTTCGTTGAACTACTTTATGCTCAAGAGTCTTTGGAAGAATGTGCAACTTACTGATTAAAAATATGACTAGATAATCTCTTAAACAAAAAAATTCTCTCGGGTCAAATGACCTGTTGTGGTGTAGATTCGGTATACAAACATGGATTAATCAGGAATAAACAAACAAAATAATTTGTATAAAATCGGTACATTAATGACTTAGAAATCAGTCATGAAGTCGAATGTGCAGAAGTAATAAAATTATACGTGCATTTTCAATGGAAAAGTTCAAAATGGGTCATTTGACCCGTTATGGTATGTTTAGTGTTAATATAGGAACATAAGTGCTGAAATTATTCAAAAATAATAATAATAATCAAGAGCATACGATTCTTTCATGAGACAGAACATTTTTTTTTCAGGAAAATTTATTATTATTACAATTTATAAATATTTTAATATAAAATAAAACAAATACGTAGGACAATAATTGAAAAAAAAAATAATTTGTTTGAATTTTCGGGAAACATTTTTTATTATATTATGTTTTATTTTATTTTAAATTTCTAGAGGAAGGGGAAACGCTCTTCCTATCCTCAAAAGAAGCTTTATGTGCCCCAGGATGGTCTAACCTAAATAGTAGGTACCCTACAGTGGATACATATGTTTACAGAAAATAAATGTTCTGCCAACGGCTGTAAATTGAATACAGGAATACAATACAAAGCTCGATAGAGCTATCCCACATCTACAATAAATTCCTAAGTGAGAAAAAATGTATTCGTAAATAATATACATAAAAACAAACAAAGTTACATTATTCATAGGCGGAAAATCTTCGAAAAATTTTGTCCATCTCATTTTACGAAATATTAAAAAAAAAAAAAAAGGAAAAAATAAAAATTACTCCAAATTGTATTCTTTAAATCATGAAAAATATTTAAATAACTGATTTCAGATTTCATGATCTACAAAAAAGTTTATATAGTCTAGTGTCTGATTTCTATTTGACAAAATTTAACATTTTTATTTTTTAAGAAAATCCTGATTCTGTTGAATAAAACATTATTGAAAAATTATTTAATGTAGGCATTCGACAAAAAAATAATATTAATTTATCATTTTTAAAAACATTTGAAGATGGCTTTTCAAGTTTTTTTTTTGTTTTTTTTGTACCTCCCTGTGTAAGCTCTTGATAATAACCTTTATCATTACAGTGTGACTTATGGATAAAGGTACTTTCTTCTCCCCCTTCCTCCCCAATCTGATCCAAGTCCCTCAATCACAATCACAATTCCTACAATGAGTTCACTACTTCATATCGTCCATCCGAACAGAATTGTATTAGATCAAAACGAATGAATTTTTCATGAGAGCGTTAGAAAAACTTTAAATCCATGCAAACAGGCAGGAAGAAGAGAGATTCAAGGCGCCCTCAAATGAATTTACTGTTAATGTAGTCAATACGATTTTTTCCAGTGAAAATTAACATTTTAATTAATTTTTCCGCTAAAAAAGAAAAGTATTTTTTTTTTTAGTTATTACACTTTTGTTCGGGATGTGACGGAAAAGGCAGTTATTTTTTATGTCATTTAACAATTTTTTGGTGGAGGTATTTGTACTATCTCGATACATGGAGGGGTTATTAAAAAAATCTGCTGCGGTGCGCGGATCACACAACGTTCACTTGCAACCCTCTTCTTAGCTGAATGAGTATTTTCAGACGAAGGGGAAGTGGATGTAAAAATTATAAACGCTATATTGATTAAATTTAAAATTGTGGATATTATTATTTTTAAGTACCGTTCTATATATATAATAAAATTTTTAATAATTATATCGCTGTAATCTAAGCAATATATATATAAATAAAACCACGAAAAATTTTAGGAAAACCGTATATGTATGTTTTATTTTACCTAGGTCACGGCAGTTATTTTTCGATCTAGACACTTTCCCCATGAATACAAGATACTACTTATTATAATATAACTAGCTTTACCCGGCCACGTCTGCTGTGGCTTAGCCTGGCAAAATGAAAAATAAAAAAAATAAAAAGCACTCATGATTAGATTAATAGTCAAAACGGACATCAGTCATTTTAATAAAGATGGGGAAACAAATTGACTGTAAAATGCTTCAATTTAAACAAATTCTAATGATTTTTTTTTCTCATGATCAAATTGGACATTCCATAATCACTATCTGAATACGCCGTCATTCATAATTCATCGAAAACTTCTGAGTTAACATATAAAACGAAAATAAAAAATTTAATAAAAAAGTAACGTAAAAAGTAATGACTACAAAATGTGAATCATATAACTTCTGCAAAATGATATTTCAATTACTTTAGTAATTATAAAATTTTTCCGATTAATCTATAAAAAAAAACAAAACAAAATCTTGCAAAACCGTCGGTATGAGGAACACAAGGACATGGCCTTTTCTGAAGAGCAAACATAAATTGTTAAAACCGTATAACTCTGCACGAACCGTCCTAATTGATGATTTTTTTTTTATTTGCATATTCAGAAATCTATCAATAATATGGGTATTATCAGTCAAAAGTTCTTACTTTTTTAAGTTATTTTTTTTATAATTTTACCGTCGAAAAAATATTGAATTCGTCGTAACAATTTTTCAGCTTAATATCGGGAAAGAAGAAATACACATAAATTAAAAGGTTTCCAGGGGAAGACTTTTAACCAAGTTACGTAAAATCGGTAAAGGCCGTTTTTGGCACTACAGTTTAAAGCGAAACATTTTTTTTCAGATTTGAACGGAAAAACATTTACAAATTATTTTTTTTATATAAATAAAAATAATCGTAAGACAAAATTACTATGTCCAGAAACTTCGCCAGGAGTATACGGAACAACTCCCAAAGTTTCATGGCGATCGGATGAATGGTTTAGTAATGCACAAAGGACAAACAAACAGACAGATAGACATACATTCATTTTTATATATATAGAAGAAGATAAATTATAATTATTATGAAATAGAAGAGGAAACACAATATAACGTACAATGAAAATATAAGAAATAAAATTCTCAAATTGATGTTGGCTTTATATGAAGCCTGGACAAGTTGGCAATACGGATAATTATAATTATTTAATAATATGAATTGGCAATAAGGTAATGTATGGCATAGATTTCCAAAGAAATTAAACATTTGTCCGAACTGTGTTTTCGTTCAATTTATTTTATGTTGATAAAAAGTAATACAATCTTAACTACAGAATACATGTAAATTACAATTATAGAATTTGAACAAAGAATTGTATAATTAAATGAACAGTTGTATAATTTGTGAAATGAGGGTCGATCCGCCGTTAGGTCGTTGAGGTATCCCCTAGTAATACTTAAAATAAGTTTCTGTTTTATTTTTATTTTTTCACTTGAAACATTCTATTGCAGTTTCCTTGCTCACGGTGGTTGATTTTACAAAACACCCTTTCATAGACACAAGAACAGATCACTGGTGGTTTTGAGGTTCATATTCATATATATACATTCAGCATTTCCAGTGGCCTCCTGGGTAAAATGAGCCGTAATTCGTTATGTAAGGTAGTTTACTTAGTAAGAAACTTTAAATATCATAGGCATGTGGGTAAATTAAGTGTTTTAATAGGTGGGAATAACCTCTTAAAATTAAAATTTAATTAATTTAAATTTTGTACATAAACTGAGTCAATGTTAAAGAAGTACTTTTTGGAAGTCTTAATATTTTTCTATCAAATCACTATTTTCCCGGTTTTTTTTGTCGGTTTATGATGCTTTCCGCACTTTTATCTTCTTTCTAAATTGAGTTAAAGGATTGACAATTTTTTATGTTTTTATCTTTTGTGGTTCTCAATTCTTTCCCCACCTCCTTCCCAATTCGCTTTCTGCCACTATTGCCTTTTTTTTTAACGTGTTATTAAACATCTTCAATAATCTAATTGAGTTAAATAGTTCAAAATTTTTATATAAATTTAGTTGGTGTCAGAGGATGATATTGGCTTAAATTAAAAAGTATTGCACCATTCGCCATTTTTTTATCGTCAATTATCTGATACATTTTATGAACCTCTACATACTGACACAAACAGACCTTACAAGCTGAGTAGGAGTGTTGAACATTTATTTTTAAATTCAGTTGGTGATTGAGAAGCTCTTTCTGGGATATCAGCGTAGTTAAAAATTAAATTCCATAATTAGGAAATGTTCAAAAACAAGGGATGAAAAAATATTGAGTACTAAGCCAGAATGAAAAATTGATAAGAGTAAAAGTATATTAGCTTTACCAATTCTTTATGTATAGTAACTAAAGTTGACAAGTATTAGTAACTATTTTATATTCACAAAAACAAATTTTATTTATTTTACTAATCGTGGTCTTGGTCTTGCAAAGTACAAGACAAAGACCCGATTTTGGGCAATACTAAGAGAATATGACCTCAGTGATGGAATTATGCTGCTCAAGTGTCTCCAGTGACTCATAAATAACTGCTGCTCAATGTGACGTCCCCATGACTATAAGATATTAATTATTGTGGTTTACTATATTGATTTTTTTTTTTTTTAGGGAAGATCCAGACCTCTGCCTGGAGAGACTGTACACACTCATGATTTTTATATCCACAGATTTGGGACATAAGTATTGTTAAAAAATCAGAAAATAAATTGCGTAACATGAAGCAAGTTGGTAAGTCTGAATGGAGGGAGAAGTGGAGAAGCTTCACAGCGTGCAGCGCACAGTCCAGCATCGCTTCTTGGGCACTTCGCTCCTCCTTCAGAGTGAGTAATGCACACCCTATTATTAATATATACTTATATTGCATCACACATGTTATGTTATATCTACATTACACAATAAATATAAATAATGTAGGCAGCAAATAGTTTACTCTATTATTAGTTAAAACATAAATGTATCATTAAAGCAACTCTTGTTTTGCCATAGATTTCGTTATAAAAATAATTTGAGAAGGCAAGGGTTGCACTCATGGCAGGACAATGCCGTTAAGGTCAAAATTTAGGAATTCCGAAGATTGTTTTTCTAATTTTCGGAGGGGAAAATTTGTATGTGTAAATTGAGTTAAAATTAGAGGATTGTGTCGTTGAGGTCTCAAGATTTTTACCGACCCTAGCCAGAGGTGGATCTACGGGGAGAGGGATGGGCTTTTGGGCTGAAGCCCCCTCCAAAATAGTAAAATATAAGTCTTATGAAAAAAAAATATTAAAGAATTGCCTCTAAAAGTATTATTGTTGGTATAATTGTATTTAATTCAAGAACCACTTAAACACCATTTCATTTAGGTACTTAGGATCTTTCTTCTTCTTCCAAAGTAATAATTGTTATGTATATAAAAAAAAAAAAAGCATTCGGACTAAAGTCTGTCCCCTCTCCCCCAAAAACATTAAATGCTGGATGTGCTAATGATTCTAGTCATTTATTCTGTCTTTACCCACATCCAAAGTTTCTCGAAACTGAGTTCGAGGGTTGAAATTTTTATATTATTATTATTATTACGTAAGTGCCTTTTGGGGATCTAGATTTTGTTTTTTCCACCTCCTGATCTTATCGATAAATTAAATTCGGAAAAAAATTAAAATGTTCGAAAACAAAATACGAAGAATTCTGTTGTAAAAGCTATTTTGAAATTCTATTAAAATTCCTCAACTAGCATTAAAAACAAAAATCCAACCGTTTTATATCCAAAATTGGGAAGAAAATAACGAAGCTGTTCATCTACCATAAGAAGAGAGGCACTTTTTTCAATTTGGGTGACATTTGTCAACTGCTTTGTCTGTTAGTTTCCCCATAATTCTGACTCGAAATTGGAAGCATTAACGGAAAAAAAAGTATACCATTTATTTATTAAAATTTTCGATTCAGTTAGCTTAATTATCATAATTGAGATAAATCTTCAGATCATTCTGATAGAACCCTCTAGTGCTAGGTCAGTAGGTATAGGATAGATAAGATAGGCTTTGAATGCTTACACGCAGAGTTTATTAATAACCTAAATAAAATAATTTAAAAGTGTTTGGAACAAAAATCAGTGTTTGAGTGCCACTAAACTTTTGTTTTTAAATTGCAAAATTAAAACTGACCGAAGACATATAATTAATCTCCTGTACTCATAAGGTAGGTATTCATGTCAGTTAATGTCTAAATTTATATAGCCCATGCTTACCAAATATGTACCAACTTTTACACATAGAATAAAAAGAATTTGTTTTTACTGGGTTATGAGTTTTTGAGAATAATTTGTACGGGTTTATGAATATTTCAGGAATTTTTTGTGGGGTATCAATTTGCAGGAACTTTCGAACCAGGATACTAGGGAGCTACGAACAAAACTCATCAAGAGTAATTGTTTATAAACCACAATTCTCATAATTCTACTCTCACTTTCACCATTTTTAAATTGAGCTGAGTATGACAACAGTTTTATGTGGGGCAGGAGGGGAAGAAGAGAGAATGAGCCATAGTCGTATGGGAAAAAGGGAAATCTGGTTAAAATTGGCAGTTTATGAAATTCCTGAAGTCATTGGTGAAAACAACCAGGTCAGCAATTTTTTTTTTTTTCTGTTCTTCCCTCCCTCACCTTTTAGGCTCTACGGGATTTTCCCGGGCCGAAGGGTGAGGGCGTGGAATTTAAAATCCCCTCTGGCACCGGGACGCGAACTCGTACTTTTTTTTTCAATCTCAAAACTTGGTTATCTGGTTGTCTGGCAACTCGCGGTGCTGTGCACACACGTTAGCCCATTAGGCCACCCCGCCTCCCAACCTGGTCAGCAATATAGTACAATAAAGTTAGGGAAAAAATAGCCTTACCCCAACATTCAGAAAGTAAGTATGAAACTTGTAAGAAATTGTTCATTACCCTCCCCATAATAATTGATAAAAAGTATCAAAGAAGGAAAAGGACAGAAAACTGACATTTTTGTCAGTTTGTTGAGAAAATCTCAAAAGCTATGAGGTCTTTTAAGATTGTTCATTACAATGTCCAATGTACTTTAAAATCTCTATAAAAATAAACCTATATATATATTTTTTTTCTATATAATCAATGGTTACGGTGATATTTATGAGATTATATTTATTGTATTCCCATTTGAGTAAAAATTGCTTCAAACCACGAAATTGATGTTCAAAGTAAACAATATCTTTTTTTAGTTTAATTACATTTTTAACAATTTCGATCGTTCAAGTTATTATTCAAAGTTTCTTTCTTTTAGTGATTCTAAAAAGTCATTGAAAACATAATTATATTCGATATCAATCAATGGGGAAATTTTGTGATAATGATATGGAGTTTAGATTGACATTAATTTTATATAATTGATAATATGTGATAGAAGACATTAAAACTTATAAAAAGTTACCATAAACCGTGGTCTGATTACATACAGAGCAGGGGTGCCCAGAAGGGGGTTTGATGGCGCAAGTTGCGCCATTAAAATTGTTGAGGGGGCCATATTTTAACGGGTTTTTGAATTTTTGAGGGGGCATATCTGAATGAATGGAAAAATAATTTTATTCTAGGCCTACAGTCCCCTAAGAATAATAACAAAGTTACAAATTAATGAGTCTTAGTCGGACTTAGAAGAATACAAAACACAAACTAATTAATTGTTTATTATTATTGCAATTGTTTAGTTGATTGAATTAAACAGAAGTAATTTTATATATTGTCGGAAGTTTGAATGTGGAGTAGATGGTGGAACAGGAGTTGTTTGAAGAAATTTATGGACGAGGATTGACGTCTAGAGGTGAGAAGAGAGTTTCAAAAGGAGGTAGCACAAATGACGAAGGATTTTCTGAAGGAAGTAGTTTTATAGGAGAGGATATATAAATCTATAGGTTGAGACCTTATATTTAGAGAGTTGATAGAGGAAAGTAGAGTTAGGAGTTCCAGAATGTACGAGGGGTTTTCAGTTTTTAGGACTTCGAAAAGGAAAATACCAAGGAGGAATTTTCGAGGAATGAAACATAAGAACTCCTGGGGATCCCGAAGATGTATCTTATGAGGAGTTGTGCAGGTTGAGGTTGATTCAAAACAACCCCTCCCCACCAATTTTATGAAATTAAATTTGTATCTCCTCCCCCATAATACAAAATCCATCTCAAAAAAAGGTTTCTTAAATTTTAACTATACACCCGTCAACGACGGGTACACCAACTATTCTTATATAAAACAGTCATTAGTCCGGTTGTGTCTTATGACTGTGAGACTTGGGTACTTTCCAAAGAAAGTGAAAGAATGTTAAAAGTTTGGGAAAAGAAAGTACTCAGAAGAATATATGGTCCTGGCTGCGAGAACGGCAACTGGAGAGTAAGAAATTGATAAATATATAATTGATGACTTCATATAAACTGTTTTGCTTCGTTCACATGGAGGCTTAACTTTTTCACAGCGTTTTCGAATTCCTCAAACACCCCCAATAATGATGCTCTTGATCTAGCCGATATTGCCACGTCTTCTGCATAGGCTAGATGCTGTGACAGGCTATTATATATCGTGCCATTAGGGCTTGTCCAAATAGCACGTACTGCTATTCTAAGGCTAGGTTGAATAGAGTTCGGGATTAGGGGTCTCCTTGCTTTAGGCCGTCTTCAACTGCAAACTTCTCCGATAGTGCTCATAGTATCTTGACTTAACGGCAACTATCAATCAGTGTTATCCTTGTTAGTCTAACTAGCTTTTTCGGTACACCTAAAGTGAACATTATTTTTAACAATTCGCTTCTATTGACACTTGTAAACCTGTTTAAAATAGATGAAAAGATGATGAAGATCTACATTATATTCATTACATTTTTCAGCATCTGTCCACGGCAAATATTAGGTCGATTGTAGATCTATTTGGCCTGAAACCGCATTGATACTCACCAAGAATACGTTCGGACCATATTTCTAATATTCATTCCTAATTTTACCGTACTAATAATATTTTTACTCAACTAGAGAAAATTTACACTCAACTTAAATTATATAAATTAAAAATTATAATACAGCTTATCGAAAAGGGAGTTTTTCCAGATGTGTTGTATCTTCAATCCAGGGGTGGTTAGGGGTTTGTTTCTCGAGAATATTGAAGGCACAATAACATCAGACAATTACAATCAACAAGTAAAATCCGTAATATTTAGAGGAGGCAAAGACTCTCCCCTACCCTCTTTTGCGTATGCCCATTCCAGGAATTCCTTATTATTTTGTTTTAAAATATTTTTTCCTTTTAAATAAGAATTTTATCTGAAATAATTGCAAGAGAGTCGTCAAAAGGGAGTACATTATTTTAAAATAGGGAGGGGGGGACAACGACAATATATTTGAGGACGGAGAAATCAGTCTTTATTTCCTAATTAGTTTCTTTTAGAAATTTAGAACCTACCTGCAACTTATGATAATATTTCATAAGATTTTTATTTATTGCTACTTTATTTTTAATTTGTTTTGGTGTCCTATAGCTAAAGACAGGGCATTAGTTGTATTTATTATTTACACAGAATAGAGGTGCCGCATACCGATATTTCAAACAAGCGGCGCTCTTTGATTTAATTCTGATACTGGAAATACGGAAGACAATGCTCCCCTTGTGTGAGTACTTAAAATAAGTCATATTTGCGCTCTTCCAAGTAAGCGGCGCCCATAGATATTTTTTTATTTACACGCAAACCTCAGTGAGCCTTTTTGTTCTTCATTTCTGGTTTAAATATTCTCTTTGAATTGAATACATAATTTTATGAAAACCCGAACTTGCCATAGTTTGACTGCTTAAAAGTCCCCTTTAAATGGTTTTAAAAAAGACAATGTTTACTTGCGTTTAATTAAAGTTTAATCTAGTTTAATATGGAGTAATTGGTTGTAACCTAATTAAACATTTTTTTAGTTCAAGCTTTTAATTCAACACAAAACGTGGATGCTTTAAAAATTACAAAATTTAAGTTTCATAGTTCTTTGTATGTAATCAGACCATAGTTTATGGTAACTTGTTATAAGTTTTAATGTCTTCTATCACACATTGCCAATTATATGACATTAATGTCAATCTAAACTTCATATAATTTTTACGAAATTCTCTATTGATTGATATCCAATATAATTCCATTGTGAATGAGTTTTTTTTAGAATCATTAGAAGAAAGAAAGTTTGAATTATAATCTAAATGATCTAAAGTGTTAAAAAAACGAATTAAACTTCAAAATGTATTATTTACTATGAACTACAACAATTTCGTGGTTTGAAGCAATTTTCCTTAAAGTGAGAATACAATAAATATTAACATAACCATTGATTTTATCACAAAAATGTATAATTTCATTTTTATAGACATTTGAAAGTACTTAAATATTGTAGTGAATTAAATATTGTGCTTTACAAAAACCTTATAGTTTTTGATATATTTCCAAAGAACTAAAAAAATGTCAGTTTTCTGTCCTATCTTCTCTTCCCTCATAAAATCCAGACAAGGTATTCTTTAGGACTTTTATCACTTATTATAGAGAGGGTAATGAACAACTTCTAACAAGTTTCATCTTTATTTTTTAAATATTGGGGCCAATCCCTAATTTTATTGGACTAATAGTAAGGCTGGGGGGTACCTACCATTTTGGTTGAATTCAGCCATTTTTTCCAACTTAATATTATTCACGTTCGATAACTAATTGGTATTATTTAATTATTTTAAGCTATGATTGTAATAAGATTAGTTTTGGTAAAATTTGTAAAGAAATTTCTTAATAAGATGCCATAGATTGAAGTTTAATTTCTATTGGATACCTTTTGTATCTTCCACTGGAACTTTTTTACATATCTAAGAAAAAAATGTATTGTTGCCTGTTGGTGAATATCTTTTATTTATTCTAATATATATATGTATATTAATAAAGTTGCCCCAAAATCAGTAGGTGGGTACACAAGAGATTATACTATAATTTATATGTGATCGTTCTTATATAAATAGTTAAAAATATATTAAAAGTAAATAATATCTACTTTTTATCAAATCACTTAGTTTAGTCATTTAATTTGGGTTATCACATTCAGTGCATTTTCAATAGCATAGGTTATTCTCATATTTATTCTTCTGATAAAAATAAGAATTGTCTATGTATTTCAGGATATCTTGACTGTGGACTGTTTTAGAATAATGGTTGAAAATATTGATGAACAATTAAGTAATATGAACAGTCAATATGATGTTTCTAATCTAAATAGTCTACCATCACCTGAAGATATCAATGAAATTCCCGAATTACAAGCCAATATTATCAAAGGCCCCTATGATAGTCCTTCACATTATTTAAATATTCATTTTAAATTACTTAAGGAAGATTTTGTTAGTAATTTACGTAATGGTTTACAAGAATATAAAGCTAATTTGGAGGAAAATAATGCTTTTCAAATCAAAGATCTTTTTGTCTATGATGCACTTTATTGTGGACTAATCAATCATAGTAGAAAAACTAACTTGGCTATTAGTTTTGAGATTGATAATGAGAAACTGAAAAAAGTAGATTGGGCCACATCAAAACGATTAATTTATGGATCGCTGCTCCTTATATCCAATGACAATTTTAAAACTTATTATTTAACACTACTTGACGGCAAAAAAACTCCAGAAAGTGGTGATAAAAATTTTGTGATTTCGACTTTAGTTGTGGATAAGTTTATTAAATTAAAAAAATATACCAAGTGCTCCATTATTGAATCAAAAGTATTTTTTAACCCATATTTCCATGTATTAAAAGCAATAAAAAAAATACATCTAAATAATTTTCCAATGGATAAATATATTATTCAAGCTTGTACTGAATTAAATCCACCAGGTTACTTAAACAATGAAACCAATTATTTGATAGAAGGAAATGAAATAAATATCAATAACATTACCTCTTATGAAAACCCTAAAATATTTGGTTTAAATGAATTCCAGATATCAGCCTTGCAAGCAGCACTAACTAAAGAGTTTGTTATAATCCAAGGACCTCCAGGTACCGGAAAATCCTATTTAGGCTTGAAAATAATTAATATTCTTCTAAATAATAGTTCAGTTTGGAAAAAAGATGAATCTCCTATTTTAGTCATTTGTTGCCGAAATAATGCAGTTGACCAGGTGCTAGAATCCCTTATAAAAGATGGAAAGAAAATAGTTAGACTTGGAAGCCAGTCAAATAATGAGCATGTCAAAGACAGTTGTCTCCGTAACGCTGTTAAACTGATATATACTAACCCAGTGTTTAGAGATAAAATTAATGCAATTAGGAATCAAATTGAAAACTTAAAATCACAGATAGTTGAAATGCAGTCAGTTATTGACAGCATCAATGACAAAAAAGCAGTGCTTAACATTGATTCTCTCAGTGATATATTGACAACAACACAAAAACAAACTCTAACTGAATCAAGTGTTTTTGAAGAATGGTTATTTGGAGGTAATGATGACTGTGATAGCAGTGAAGCATTATTGGATGGACTTTCATTCGATAATTTAGAATATAACTCATCATTCATGATGAATATAACTGTTGAACATGAAAGCTCATTATTCCTTCTGAGAATTACTGACCTAATAAATGAACTTTGTGATCTTAGGATGAAAATTGATTTTATTTATTCTTATAAAGATGATCTACAGTTGAAAGGGCCAGATATATTACTAAATGTAGTAGAAATTTTACAAGAGTATGGAGTAAAAGAATTGTTTCTGAAGAAGGTGGTAAATAGGATTAATTTAGATATTAACAATTTTATTGACGTAACTCAATTAAATCCTGATAATTTATTTGAATTGTCAATACCTGAAAGATGGAAGTTGTATAAACATTGGGCAGATCTGTTTTGTAAACAGTGTTTGGAAAAAATTGAAGGTTATCTTCATCAGATTAACGAGAAGCAAAATGATTTAGATGAATTAAACAATACTAGTGATGGACACAAAGTTCTACAGTTGTGTCCTGATGTAGTTGGGGCAACCACTGCTGGTGCAGCACGCACTCGCTCTCTTCTTGCAGTACTCAAGCCAAAAATAGGTAAGACAATAATATATTTGTAATTTACTTTTATTCTTTTGTTTTTGTTATCGTTATGTTGTAGATAGATAAATACCTTTGTCAATGAGGTTTTATAATTATTCAAATTCATTCTCAAGCCTAAAGTGTATATTTTATCAGAAACTGGACAAACATAACATTTCATGAGTCCGTTTGTTGTAAACTTAATCCTATAAGTTGACAAAAAGCATCTTGAAGTTTATAGTCTCGATACCTTAGAATAATGCTTGAATTTTTCATGTTTTATCATTAGACAATATTTAAAAAAAAACATCAATAAATACATTTTATTAGTTTCTTTATATGCATTTAAAAAATTCTTATTTTTCTAATCAAATTTTAGTAATAGGAGGAGTTTTACCTCTCCATCAGACATGACATTCCAAACGTGTTGCAGTAGATAAACTATGACTAATCAGTAATAAAGTTTAATAAGGGCATGTCTATATGAATATTTTTAATTTCAATGTAATTATCCAATTATAGTTACAAAAAAAATTTCATTATTGTGTATTTTTTTAATGTTGTTTCTAATCAAACATACTTTAATCCTGAATAATTTTACCATCCTGTTTATTATCACTCATAAAAAATAGTCTTACAAGTAAAACTATAAGATTATTTTAATAATCGTACTATTCTAATATTACTGAATATTTTTTAATCATGATTGTAATTATTTCAGTTATATTTGAAGAAGCAGCAGAGGTTTTAGAATCTCATACTGTAGCAGCGTTAACACAATGCTGTGAACACGTCATAATGATAGGTTTGTATGATGAATATTTATCACCCATGATATATAGAACAGTCGACTAACTTCATTCAACAGAACTATTTTATTTTATTATTGACCTCTTCCCATTATATTTTATTTCTCCAACTTTTGAACAAATTTGTAGAGGAGAATTGAGAAGCTATTTTGTTTATAATCGTTAAATCATAGTATTCACTGATGGATTTAAGCAAAATAAATGTGGATATTAAAATGAAAAATAATAAAAATCGCTATCATGGATAATATCCTACTACAAGATGGTACATGATAGGAAGGTGGACTAATAAAACATATAGGGTACCCAACTTTTGAGGCAAAAGCTGTTTATTACATACGCAAGTGACTGCCAAATAGTCTGATTAAGATTTCCAACAAATGAACTACTATACCTATTCTCCCTTAGCACCATTAGTATTAATCGCATAAAATTTATTTTCCTATTACTCAAATTAGTTAAAATCAAATCTATAATTAATGTACTTGTCAACAATTTCATTTAAAGAATGTGTTTATTTTTATTTAAAAAACTAAATTCTTAAAGTTATTTTAAGAAAGTAAAATCTTCAAAAAAAGGTGAAAAGTTAGTAGAAAAATAACATTAAAATTTTTAATCTAAATTTTTTACCAAACAAAGAAAAATACAGTGACAAAAAAAAACTAAATTGTTTTGAATCATCTGACTGCATATGATATATATGATATGGCACATAACTTTCTCCAACATTTTTCATTTATATGTTTTAGGAGATCATCAACAATTGCGACCAAATCCTGCAAGTCATATTTCTGTACTAAAGTACAACTTAGATATCTCCCTATTTGAGAGAATGATAAATAATGGATTAGAATATTTTACATTAAATGAACAACACCGAATGAGACCACTGATTTCATCTCTTGTCATCCCACAGTTTTATCCTAAATTACAAAATCACAAAAGTGTAGAAAACTATCCAGACATAAGAGGTCTGAGGGATAATATGTTTTTTGTTGATCATATCATTCCTGAAGATGAGGTAAGTAACTAAATATTGAAAGTGCCAACTAGTTTTATAACTCTAAATATCCAAAAACTGTAATATAGGTGGCATATTATGACAAATTATTTTTAAGAGCCTTTTATTTTCATTAAAACGAAACCTTCTTTTTATCAAATATTATTTTAAATCACATCAATAAAAAAAGCTTCTTTAAAAATAAAATATAACTGTACTAGACGAGTAAATATGAAAATGGAATTTCTTTTATGGAAATTCCATAAACGTTTATTGCATAAAAATGATAGAAGATATTTTATTCAAAATATTGTCCATTGTTCGCCATTTATTTTTCCCTCTATCTCTCTAGCAATTTGTGAAAGCTATGTCAGAAAAACTGTTACTCTTTTGTGGCGAACCAGTTATCAACTTAATTTTATACATTTTCATTAGAAGTGAGGTGCTGCTGAGCAGGTAAGTGTCCCATTGATGCAAATAGTATTTATGCAGTGCTACTAAATGAATAGTATTTAGACAGAAGCAAGTCTCATGAGTAAGCTGCATGTACGAATGTTTTCCTAGTGAATGCCTCAATCATTTTCTTCTTTGGTTTTTTTTTTTTTGTGGGTGATGGTGCATTATAATGATGAAACATCAATTATCAATGAAAAAAAAAATAGCTCTAATACAAATTTTGTATTAGATGTAAATTTTTAGTGTATATAGCAAAAACAAAATGAAATAATGAATATGAATGATGAAGTTGATTGAGGATACGGTCAAAGATGACAATTCACAAAAAAGCTTTATTTTATTTAAGTTTTAGGCCTTCATCAGGGTTGCTCATCTGAGTGAGATCTCCTAAACAAAATGTTTTGAAAGGTTTCATTTTTCCATTAAATTAAAAAAAATATTAACAAAATATAGTGCCCTTTGAAAAAATTGCTGTACTAAACTTGACGTAATAAGTAATAAAAGTAAAGAGTGAATTTCTCCAAAAAGATACATCAGGTCCAGGAACTAAATGATGTTGAAGAAATTACAAAAAGAAATGATCAAACCTTTTGAATAAGACCTCAAAGAAAAATAGACTATCTTTAATATCAACATTTATTAGAAGATTTAACTACTGTAAATTATGTACATGTAACAAAAACAAAATATTGATAAATGTATGAATGAAATAATGAATATAAATTAAAAACATATGGCCTTTTAAGATAAAAATTAAACTACCAAAAGTAATATGAGATGAAAAGAATAAATAAATTAACAAAAAATATAGCTCCATAGTGGATCTTTGATAAATAACATGAAATATGATATAATAATAATACTGGATTGTTTTGACTCTGGTTGTTTTTATATATGGTGTTAGGAAGTTCTTTCTCCAACAATAATGCAGGCTACTGCTTCAATATTAACATTTGTTTATGATTGCAACCATTGAAAGTGATATTTTTTCTAGGTGGTATTTCCTTCTGATCTATAACGTTTTAAATTTATCTTTTGTTTTTGTCGGTTCCTCTTCTTCTTCTAACCTCTTCTACGGCAGCACAGTGTGAGGTGCCTTTTCGATAGAGTTTGATCCATAAATCCCGATCCTGTATCAGCTGTTTCCTCTTCCTCCACTCCAGACCTTTCCTGTCGAAGGCCTCTTGCAACCCTTTAGCCCAAGTCTTCTTGGGTCCTCCTTGGGGATCTTTTCTCATCTGAGAAGCTTCATAGGTAGCTCTGGCAATGCAATTCTCACACATGTGTTCGAACCACCTCAAACGATGTTCTTCCAATATTTCCTCGATTGGTACATATCAAGGCTTGCTCTTATCATTGTGTTTCTCACACGGTCCCGTCTTGTGCTTCCCTCAACCTTCCTAAGGTATCTCATTTCCATTGCTTGGATCAGACTCTTGTGTTTAGTCATGAGGGCCAAGATTTGCTTGTGTATGTTAGAATCAGAAGAAAAGTTTTTTATATATCATTCTTAGCAATTTTTATTTTTATATATTATTCTTAGTATGTTTTGAAAAAAAAAAAATTCCCAGGAAGCCAGTCTTCAGGAAGTTAAAGCATCTTTCTGCTGTTCCTATTCTCTCCTTTATCTTACCATCGACCCATTCATACTCATTCAGGTGAGATCCAAATATTCATAGTCACTCACCTGTTCTATTTACACTCCATTAAGCCTTAACACTCTGTTTTATTGTATATAACATCCAAATACAGATTAAATAAAAAATAGATTTTTTAAAGGAACTTTTCTTGATTTATTTTAAGAAACCTCCAAGTATGACACGTAATTCTTCAACTGTCTGTTTTTTAAAATTATTTAACATAAAGTGTATTTTCAGTTGATAGATTCTGATAGTCATCGGAATAAACATGAAGCTCACTTTATCCTTGCTTTAGCTGACTATGTATTGAAGCAAGGGTACAATAAGGAAGACATAACTATCCTTACATTGTATGGAGCACAATTTTTTTATCTTCAGGAAGTAAGTTTTTTGTAATATACATTTATGATTTCCTGTTCCAATATAATATATTTTTTTAGGTTGCTTTATGTTAAATCAACCTATAAATTTTACAATGTGTTGATTATTATTATCAATGAAATACAATTTAAATTATTTATACAATGAAATCTTTCCAGAGGACTTTATATTCACAGATTGAAATAAAATTGACACTTGACAAAGCAATGTAATCTTAGCAATTACTAAGGGACCATTCACAACTGATGATTTCTTATGGCAGTGAAGCCACTCATACCGACTCTTTAGAACTCAGCTCTGATGGACTGAAGCCAAACTAAATAGTTTATATCCACTAGTATTTGAATTACTTTTTAATCAATTTCTTCTACTAAATTTCTTTTGCACAACTGAACCGAATGGACAGCCCTTTATTATATTATAGATGTTGATGTCACTGAAAACTTGCCATTTAATTTTTAATCAATATTTCTTACATTATAATTCTTATAAAGCGATTCATTTATTAGCCAATGAGATTGCTAATAAAGAGTTTGCCACCATAAACCTTGTGTATTCTCAATTTTTTTCCACACTCGTCTGGTTCCTCTGATAGTTTCACGAGATTCCTCCCTTCCATATACACACCCTACTGTTACAAGTCCTGTGCTTTTAATTGAGAAAAACTTAGTGGTGAGTAATCTGCCTGTGGATGTCAGAATCTGCTAAAAAAAAAAAAAAAAAAATATGGAACATAAAAGCTTTCAAAATTAAAAATTATATCAAATTATCTAGTCAGTGATGATTTAGATTTAAATATATTTTTGCAACTGACGGGTCAGAAACAATATTTCTCTAGCTTTTTGTTTGGCAGCGCTATTATTAAACAAATTCCATGGCACCTTCATTATAATTATTGGTAATTTTTTTTGTTGCCTTTTTTTCAGTTAAAGTGGATATCGTTTGTAAAAAAAGATAATTTTTATTTTTCAAATAACAACCACAGTAGTAGCCAGAATCAATTCTATCAACATCTATATTACATTGCGATACTAAATTTAACAATATATGTTAAATTCTTTAATTAAAAAATGCCTGTGTTTGCACTCCCTAAATAAAAATGAAAAATACATAATGGTCAACAAGGGCTGTTTATATTTGTATAGTCCTGATTAAATGTTGAAAAACATGATAGTTTTGTCCAGTAATTAAAAAGAAGCCTCTAATATGCGAAGAACAATGTTTTAAAGCATATAGTTAAAATTTACTATTTTTGTATTATTTACTTTTTTTATACTGTTATAAATAATTTACCTTTATATATTATTTTTCAAAAGGATTTTTTGTTGGTATGGTAAGTCTCCCTTAATACTTTATCAAACTAAAAATTTAGCCATCATTTTGAACATTACCCTCTCCACTAATTATTTTATTTAACTTTATTTGCACATGTCTCGAAAAGATTTTTATGATAATTTAAAAGGTAATTCAATTGTATTAAAAATTTTGACCATTATTTGCAAAGAAATACTATTGGAATTCGTACACATAGTTTGGTTTAATAGGGTGTATAAAAAAAATGATCGGTTTTCAACTAAATATTTGTATTATTATTTCATTGTTATAAAATACAATTTATAAGTAATAGAGTGTATACAAAAAATTACCGTTTTTCAGCTAAATATTAGTATTATTATTTCATTGATATAGAATACAATTTATAAGTATAGTCCATTGTTATCTGCTGCCATTAGCCATCTGCTAGCCAATTGCTCTATCCTACACTGATACCATTCTTTGGGATAGCTGTCAAAGAACTCTTGGACTGCAATTTCAACTTCCACAAAATTATCAAATTTTTTCCATGAAGAAAATGTGACATGTATCTAAATAAGTAGTAATCCGATGTTACGATGTCTTGATTATATGGTGTATAAGGCAGGAGTAGAAGCCCATGAAGTTCTTTATACTTTTCTTTGGTTAGACGGGAAGTGTGAGGACGAGCATTATCTTGTCGGAATAAAATTCCTTTTCGGTAGGTCAAAGCAGGATAATTCTCTGACAACTTCTCATACAATCTTTCCAGCTGTTCGCAGTAGAGTTTAGAATTCATAGAGCATATATCAGGAATTAATTTTTGATGAATAACACCTTCAAAATTCCAAAAAATGGATTTTTTTTTTCTTCGAATTGCCCTCTTGCAGCAACCAGAAAAGCAGTTTGACTGCGATCTAGCCATTCCTCAGGGGTATTCGGATTTCTCCAGTAAACTTTTCATCACAGGAGACAATCTTCTGGTAAAATATCATACCAGAAGGGTTTTTCAATAAATGTTCACAAATTTCTAATCAATTAGCTGATTGCTAAGGAGTAAGTTCGTGAGGGACCTGTCTACTACTCTTTTTCACCTTTCCCATGGACAGTAGATGGTGACTAGCAGTACAAATTTCAAACCAACACCATGCAGTGCGCTGGTCTTCATATTCATCTTCATCTTCATATTTAATAATTTCATGAATTGCTTCAACGGCTGTGAAATTTTTTTTTCAGTAATACCTTAAAATTATGAGAATTTCGTAAGACACTGTCATGTTTCTTCTTTGGCTTTTTGGAAGAAGTCGAATGGGATTAAACAATCTTAAAAATGCTTTAAAGGGATTATAAGTATTGGTAAGTATTAAATAGGATTAAAATATTTACAGTCCTTTGAAATCATGAATTTGATAAAGCAGTCATTTTTTTTATACACCCTTTTATTATTTTTAATAAAGGATCTTTTAAATTTACCGACTAATAAATTCCTCCATCTGAAAATTTATCATATTTACTTGTATCCATATTTTATAACCTTTTTGGTCACTTATCAATATAGATAGATAGATAGATAGAAAAAAAAAACTTTATTCTGGGACTAAGTCCCTTCAAAATAACAATAATGTACAAAATAATAGAATATTACTGGCCTGAACGTTGAAACAATAAATAAAATTGATAAAATAAAATAAAAAGTAAAGAAAACCTTAGGTGCACAAGCTATATACAAACAGAAAAAACTATGTACAGTGCATTTAAAATTATGAACAAAACAATTAAAACTATGAACGAATCACTTGAACTATGAACAAAATTATATTTAAGGGTTGAACAACATAAACATACACTTTGAGAAATGAAGAACGAAAAAGAGATACAATGAGTTCATTTCATAAAAAAAAAAAAAAAAAAAAAAAAAAAAAAAAAAAAAAAAAAAAAAAAAAAAAAACTTTACTTGAATATATATATAAAAATAAACAGTTACTTATAATTGAATAAAAAAAAAGTGTATGTATTGAAATTCCTACGTCGATAGTAGGAAATGTATGTACTATCTCTTACCAAGTGTTATGATTATATGAATGCTACACAATACATATATAATATCAATAGTTAGCTGGTATCAGACTGTTTTTGGAACAGGAATTGGAATAGGAGGTTTTTGAATGTATACAGGGAAGGGGCATGTCGAATATTGATCGGGAGGGAATTCCAAAAGTTGACAGAGCGGGCTATAAAGGAATTTTGGAATGAGGCAGATCTATGAGAAGGGATGTATAGGTCAGAGGGTCGGGATCTTGTAGTGAGTGAATGGATTGAGGACTTAAATTGAAGAAGGTTGTAGGCATAAGAAGGACGATGATTGGTAATGATTTGATAAAGGAAAGTGCCAAGGAAATATTGTCTTCTTAAGGAGGGAAAAAGCCACCCTAACTCAGTGTAGTGGTGGGAGACACGGGAGCGTCTCGGGGTTCCAATTACAAATCTTACGAAGCAATTCATAAGTCTTTTGAGTCTATCACGCAGTTCCACCGAGAGGCCATCGTACACCACACAGCTGTAGTCAAAGTGGGGAAAGATGAGAGAGGAAACTATGAGTCTACGGGTATTTTGGGGTAGAAGATGGCGGAAGTGATGGAATAGTTTGAGGGTAGAAATTGCACGGCGGGATATATGAGAGATATGGTGATTCCAGGAAAGGGTTTGATCTATGAGAAAGCCTAAATTTTTAACAAAGGGATAGAAGGTGATGGGGTGGTTGTTTAGATAGAGTGAGGGAAAGTTGGTGTGGGATCTAAGAAGGGGCTTGGAACCAATGAGAATGGCCTGAGTTTTGGCAGCATTTAGCCTTAATCCATTTAAGTTGGCCCAGGCACTAATTCGATCTAAATCTTTTTGAATTTTGGCAAATGCCACCAATAACTCAGCGGGAGAAAAGGATAAATAGATTTGAGAATCGTCGGCATAAAGGTGGTGGGAACAATGGATAATTGAATCATTTAGGTCATTAATATAAGAACTGAAAAGAAGAGGAGACATGCTTGAACCCTGTGCAACTCCTGAGGATAAAGGAAGGTAGGCAGATAGAGGTTGATTAGGTATGGAAACTGCTTGGGTTCGTTGTGAGAGGAAAGACTGGAACCAAGAGATGGAACTATTGGAGAAGGATAATGATTTTAGTTTGTTGAAAAGGATGGAATGGATAATGGAATCGAAAGCTTTGGAGAAATCAAGCAGTATAAGTATGGTTAGTTTTTTGTCATCTATTGCAGTCTGGATATCACGAGTAATTTTAATCAGAGCAGATTGTGTAGAGTAGCCAGGACGGAAGCCAGATTGGAGAGGATCGAGTTGGTTGGATTGTTCAAGGTAGTTGGAAACTTGGGATTGCACTAACTTTTCTAGGGGTTTAGAAAGATTAGAAAGGATTGATATTGGGCGGAAATCTTCGGGAGAGGATGGATTAGGCTTTTTGTTTAAAGGAAGGACAATGGCTTTTTTCCAAGAGGTCGGGAATATTGAATTCTGCAGGGAGAAATTGTAGATGAAAAGGAGTGCTGGGAGGATTTCAGGGAGACATAATTTTATTAGTTTGATAGGAATGCCATCTGGGCCTACGGAATTGGAACGGGATTTCATTATAACGGTAATAAGGTCTGTGGGAGAAATGTCGGAAAAATAAAAATTATTGTCGTTAAAAGGTACCTCTGGAGAAAAGCCGGAAGGGGATGGTAAAGCCTAACAATGCCCCATGCAAATTATTCAAACAGACCAGCTAGTGTAGGCAAATTTTTATTAGTTTTGAGCTTTCACCAGATATCTATTCAGAATTCTTTTACACTTATGAGTTGGAATGTACTTTTATTTAAAAACTTATACCAGAAATATGATAACATATTGTTTGTATTCAAGAAGGCTTATAATTTTCTGTAATAATTGCGATTGACTATCCAAAAAATTGTAAATTAAATATTATTTTCACATGATGTTACAAAAATGCTTAACTCATACCAAAATCTTAAATTATTGATTGAAAAAACTTTTTCTTTTAATTTTAGAGCAGTAACATTTCAAATTATTAATTACCTAATCGAATTTTGTTTGGCCAGGTGCGTTCAGATTATCCTTCATTGAAAGATGTAAGCATGGAAGTAGTTGATAACTTCCAAGGTCAAGAAAACAAGATTATACTTCTGTCATTAGTTAGAAGTAATCCTCAAACTATCGGATTCTTATCTAAAATGAACAGAATATGTGTTGCTCTCACCAGAGCAAGAGAAGGGTTTTATCTAATTGGTAATATGAAAACACTAAAAGACAACTCATCTGTTTGGGAGGGTATCAATGAGACTCTTCAAAAAAATAAAGTTATAGGTAATAATAATTTTTACAGAATTTTCTTTTTCCACTTAAATAAAACTTTTTATAACAACAAACTATTTTTGTTAGGAAATGAACTTCCTTTGAAATGCAACACACATGGAACGATTACAAATGTGCGGACAAGTGATGATTTTTTACCCTTAGTTTTTGGAGGTTGTACACTGATTTGTGGTGCAAAATTAGAATGTGGCCATGTTTGTGAATTACAATGTCATAGTGCTGATGAAGGCCATTTAGGAATTTACAGCTGCCAAAAACCTTGTGAACGGTAGGATCTTATATGTGTATATATTTTTACTTTCACTTACGTATTGTAACGTTCCCTTTGTCAACATAAATCAAACAACGAGTTTCTTTTTTCAATATATTATTTATTTTAACACATAACATAAATTCTCAGGTTGGGTTCGAACAACTGAACACTCATTCAACATTAAATAACTATAATGTACACTAATTTAATAATTACTAACTACACTTATTTATAATATAAAATATTTTATAAAATAATTTGTCCCGATCTAAACTTTTGGTTCTATCCCTCTGTCAACATAAATGGCATTGCTAGCACTCACCCAAATGCTTACGCCTGCCAGCGAAATAATCTCTTCTTACTTACGAATATCCCGTTTTCTGTACCACTTAATTATTTTCTGCTTTGTTGTTTTCTTCCAACATAAAATAATCTTCACTAGTGGCCTCTATCAACACTCGAACCGGCTAGGACTCCTTTTTCTATTTTCTCAGCTTGCTGGCTAGCACCTTCTCTCTTGACAGCTTGTCACATTTTCTCTTGGCGGCTCATAACCTCTCTCTTGGCGGCCCGTCGCAGTCTTAGTTACATGAGGCTTGCTTCCCCCACTTCTTCCCCGTAGTTCATGCTGTTACCGCTTTTGCGCCACTATTCAAATGCCATGTAATGTTGACATTACAGTATATATGTAATATATAGTAAGCATAAGTATTGCGATCGAGAAAATTTTTGAATCTGAGTTTTCAACGGAAATACAGATTTTGAGGTACCCTTAGTCGAAATAACCAAGTCCCGAAAAATGGTCTGTGTGTCTGTGTGTTTGTATGTTAGCAGTCTAGCTCAAAAACGAAAAGCCGTATGAAACTGATATTACATATTTAAGATAGGTATAGATGTGACAGCAACTTTTTCCTTAAAATCGGCTAATTGGAAGTGCCACTTTATATCAACGCTGAAACACATTTTTATAATTTTCTCAAAAACGGCTCTAACAATTTTGATTAAACTCGGTGTATCAATGTATAATGAAGTAATCTTTAATACCAATTAGGTCTTATCCTCATTGATGTCCCTTTACAGGTTTTGTCCGGTCCGGAAGGAATATTCACAATTCCCGCCAAAAAACAAGTTATTTACATTTAACTTTTAATAGGTTATTTACATTATATAGGGGCTATGGTAGCTGTGCGGGCTAAGGCACTTGCTATAGGTTATCAAAGTTAAGTAAAGTCGAGCGTGGTTAACACTTGGATGGGTGATAGCCCACCAGAGAAAGTCACGCTGCCCGAGATCCTCCCCCCCCCCCCCCCGGGTATCTAAGGCCCGTAAGACTACTGGAGGCAACTCACATCGACCAGGTGTGGGACTGATGACCCTACCCCCGTGTACTTAAATCGAGAATCGGGATGTGGTCAAAGATCTTAATGGTCTGTAGCGCCAACTGAAAAAAAAAAAAAAATATATATATATATATATATATATATATATATATATATATATATATACACACAGCTGTTTTTTTCATATACTATTCATTAGATTGTAATGTTATTACTCATATTTCCAATTTATGCAGTGAGTTGTTGACTGTGGAGGAGCGGAAAAAAAAAAGTCTGCTGAATTTGTGGATCTTTTTTGTCACTATTATTGTTTGCATTGGGAAAAAATAAATTTTTAAGGAAAACAAATTTAATGTAATAATGTATCAAAAATATTTGAATTATTTTGGAAATTTTACAATTTTTGTAAACAATATTATTTTTTTTTAATTTAAATATTTTTATGTTATAGGAAAAATAAAAATTATGTTATTTTTAGGTTCTTGAAGTTCACAAATCAAATAAAAAATTCACTCATACAATGTAATGTCTTTAATAAAAACATTAATTCATAAAACAAAAAAGAAAACTTTACAATAAAAATAATGAATAGTTTGTTAATTAAGAAACATTACTCTTACATACAAAGAAAAAGAGTGTGAATCAGTTTAATATTTACGGCATATTTGCAAATGATAAATAATTTGATTTTGATGCATAAATAAACACTCCTATTCCATAAAATTTCATTTCAAATATTAACTCCTTAATGTTTACCTTCATTTAAATATTGGTTATTCTAATGAAGAAATAAAATTTCTGTTTAAATTTACTTTATAATGTATCTAAGAAAAGCTGTATGCAACTTATGTGTAGTGTATGTACACGGCACACTTGATTTCATATTTATATAAAATAATAAACAAACGAAAAATATATTCAACTTAATTCCACATGAAACTTGAATATCATACAATTAATCATATACAACTCAAGAATAATACTATGCTTCGCTTGATCAATCTTAACTTCTTACAAAAACTTACATAAATCCCTATCAATCTCAACTGCAACTAAAAGTTGTACTATTATTAAGCAGCTATTTTACAATCATAAATAAAAAAATTAACAACATTTTTACATTATAAAATAAATAAACTAATGAGCGTTTTATCTTGGGTGGGCTTTTATACACTCTGCACCACAGTATATCAAGCATCACATTATGTTCTCACTTAACAAGTAACTGAAATCAAACAATATATGAGACAAAAATAAAACAAAAACTTTAAAAAATAATTTTAAAACCTACAATAATAATTAATCTAACAACCAGACAATAAAACAATGTAACCAACTTTATTCATTACAATATATTATTAGAGAGAATTTGATTAAATTAATACTGAACCATTTGTACATTTGTACATCCCCACTTTCCTCTAACTTTAGGTCAAACAGGATGAGATATTTTAGAAATATATCAAAAGTAGTGGATGGCATTTAATAAAATTGATTCTGGGCCATTTTTATTTTTATTCCCAATTTTCCTGCAACCTCTGATCAATTCAGACTAGTCGTTTTTTTAATTATAGTTGTTTTAAGGAAAATGCCTTTGCATATCTATTGGTATATAAAATTTTCCTACCTTTCTTCATAAAGAAGCATGGATTTATTTTTCTATTGAACATTGCACAATATTTCAAAGAAGGCTTAAGGGACAGGTCCACAAGTAAGTGAGACTGTTGTCATGGGAACTATTGTGTGTAATATGTCATATCATAATATGTTTCATGTTCGTATCATTATACATCAATAATTATTTGTTCTTATTTAGCAAACTAACTGATATTATCTACATGAATTTAAATAATGAAAGCATGGCTTAAAATATCTCTTGATTTTTCAGCAAGGCTGATTGTAACATTCATGATTGTAAGGCTTTGTGTGGAGACCCATGTCCTAAATGTGATGTTAACTTGGAAACTATTTTGCCTTGTGGTCATCCAGGTTCAAAGGAGTGCAGAGGAGAATCTCTTCCCTGCAGCTCGAATTGCACTGACATGTTAAGTTGTGGACATTCTTGTTCAAAAGAATGTCATTATCCTATGCCACATCTTCCTGATGAGGTAATTTCAAAAGACTATATTAATTGATTTTTGAAACAAAAATATAACCATATGCTTCAGAAAAGAGCTAAAAGAAGCAGGGAGAAAAACAATGAGGGACAAACAGAAAAAATACTTATTGTTTAATAATTATTTATCCTTGAAATGAAAATATTTAATACATGACCAAAAATTTCAATGGATATATATTATTTAATTTAAATATATTTCATTATAATGTATATTATAAATGTTTTATTTATTTATCATTATGGTGCCATGTATCACTAAATTAGGCTAGAGGCACCATTCCTTTGTAACATTTACAATTCTTTAAAAACTTTGATTTCTTTTACATATTTCAGGATTTGTTTATTGAATTTATGATTGTTGCCTATTAAAGTTCTTAGATCCTGTTCATTGATGTCTTCAGAGTCTTCTTCTGATGTCTTAGTGTAGTGCACAGTCCTTAAATATGTGCTTGACAGTCAGTTGTCGGCAACTGGCACACATCGACGGGGGTTTTCCTTCTACCAAGTAGCTGTAAGTTAGGCTAGTGTGCCCGATCCTTAGTCTTGTCATTGTCACTTCTTCTTTTATTATCAATGTATGAAATGGATTGGGGCTAACACATGTGCACAGCATCTCCATTGCCCAGCAACCTGATATATAAGTAAATTGATAAAAAATAGTTATGAGTCCGTTTCCTAGTGCAGGGAGGGTCTTTTAACACTGCCGTTAATCCCCACCCTTACCCCCTGATGTGGGAAAACCCCTTATAGCCTTAAAGGTTTTTTTATCTGTAAACTATTTTTTAAAATTACAAAAACGTTATTCTGTGCATGAAAAATAAACAAATAAATTGAGGTAAAAAATTATACAAGCCAAAAAAAAAGATTATAAATTATAGAATGAAAATTCATGATGACATTTCGAACTTTCTAAATAAAAAACGTGGTGTTATTGGGAAAGAATTTAGACCACAATGATATGGTACCTTGGAAGTAATATGTTCTTAGTTAAATATTCATTTATATATATTTTTTTTCAATATTAATATCTCTATTTCTTATTTCACTTGAATGAATTATAAATTTATATCTAAAAGTTAAAAAGTTCCACCTTTTCTCGAGGCAATTCTATTGTTAATTTGAATTTATTTGAGTTTTATGGAGAATAGCTCTAGCTTTATCTTTTAAAATTAATCCCCTTATGTCAATAATTAATCTATTTTTGGGGAAGATTTATTGTGTTGGTAGAGGATTTTATTTACATTTTACCTGACTATAGTGTTGCCACAAGACAGATAATGTGTTTAGCTGAGTGTATGTTAGTTTGAGCAAATAGCTCAACTGATTTTTAAGTGCGATGGCTCAAACATTCAGCGAATATTCTGAAATAATCTACGCTCAAAATATTGTATTTAATGTGTTTACTCTGTCTGTTAGAAGGTACATTATAATTTTTTTATATGGCTCAAACGAGTTTGATTATCGGAACCTTTCATTTATTTATTTTTTGCCCAAAATTTTGTTATTTAGGTATGCGTGAGGTCTTGTTATTATACATTTGGCATTACAAGAGCTTTTGTCTTAAAAAATATATATATTTATGTATTCTAAAAGAGGTGTAGGGAGGTGGTAATATTTTCTTATTAGTTTTGAGGAAAAAATAAATTTAATAAAATGAAATTTTTCCTCAACCTAAACAGGAATATACAAACTTTTACCTCAATCTGATTTTTAAATAATATTATCCAACCAGTAACCATCATTATATTAATACTGCTTCAATTTACAAAATTAAGAACAAATTTTTGAATGTTCGGTGGATTTCCTTAATAGCCCTGGAGCCAGCCAGGTCCCAAAAATCGACCTCATCACAGGTCTGATTGTAAATTACAAAAGTGTATATCATTCTGAGTAAAAAGAACCTTGTCAACCATTCCAGAGCTGCAGCTTTGAAAAATAATGGCTGATATGAAGAATATTAGGCCAGTAATTTTAGGATTGAAACAGAAAATCCACTCCTAAAAATGTGAGAAATGTTTTTATTTTTTTAACTTGTGTTTATAAAACCCATTCATATGTCTAAACAGACATGTTAAAAACAAAATTTTCTAATGTGGGTCACCAAGGGAAAACTTTTTACATCCAAAAAAGACAGATTTTTCTCGATATTGTTTTGTTTTTTCACCTTTTACTCCTAAACTATGCATCAAAGCGAAAAATGTACTCATTAATAAATTAAAGAATGTTAAATTGTGCGTCGAACGAGTACATAAACTTTATAATTTACTAACGTGGTAAGGTATAAAACAATTGTCAACCAACGCTGATTTTTACCAAATTTGCCAAAAACTGAGACATATTATTATAAATGGCCGTATAACTTGGAAATGAGTTCCCTTAAAGGAAAAACCTATAGAATCAAAGTTGTAGAGCATCAAATTTTGCGTCCACTGAGTACTGACATTTTTATTGTAGGCCTTATATATATCTCAATCAGGATTCGTTATTCCTTTATGAAATTACTTAATTCGTTATTCTTATTACTTAATTCATTATACTTTTATGAAATCAGTATCTTTTGACACATCGTTTATCAAAATCCTTGGCTGCTGAGAGGTTAAAAAGAGGCTTATACTGCATGTAACAGCCTCTAAACAGAAATAACTCAGTAGCAAGACACCCATACTGTTGAAATATTAAAAGTCAACTTTACCTTTATTACCAATTTCTAACCATCGGGAGATTACCAATTTTGTTTGGAGTAAGTGACCTACATTATATTAGTTGGTACTCACTGCTCATGCTCTACAACTTTGATTCGATGGTTTTTTTCTCTTAAGGAAATAATTTCCAAGTTGCAGGACCGACCGTTTGTAGAAATTTGTCTCAGTTTTTGACAAATTGGGTAAAAATCAGCATTGGTTAACCGTGGTTTTATACCTTACCACATAACCAAATTATAAAGTTTATGTATTGTTTAGATGTAACGTTTAACATTCTTTAATTTATTAAACATCACATTTTTTGCTTTGATGCATCGTTTAGGAGTTATAGGTGAAAAAAAAAAATCAAAAAAATCTGACTTTATTGGCTGTAAATAGTTTTCCCTTGGTGGCTCTCATTAGCAATTTTGTATTTTACATGTCTAAACCATAGTTAAAAAATTAAAAACTTTCCTCGCTTTTTTTACAATGGATTTCCCGTTTCGATCCTCAAATTACTGGCCTAATATTCTTTAAATCAGTCGTCATTTTTTAAAGCAGAGGCTCTGGAAGGCAGGCAAGGTTCTTTTTACTCAGAATAACCCACAATTTCATAATTTACAATCAAATCTTCACCTGGGATGAGGTCTGAGGGGGGGAGCTCTGGCTCCAGGGCTATAAGGATTTGCAGGTCATGGCTCAATGATTATAAACCTATGATTTAGATAAATTTTTATGTAATTATTAATCTAATCTTAGACTAAAAATCATTTAAGGTCAAATCTGTTTTTTTTTTTTTAGATCAACTAAAATCTTGGCTAAAATATGTTTTTAGTGAGGAAAAATAAAATAAATAAATAGCTGTCGGTCTACGCTATGGTACAATCAATCCATTTTTTTATTTTATAGCCACATTCCCTAATACATTATAAAGTTTAATGTATAATATTAGAAGATAAAAATAAAATTTTAATGTTAGTAAAATATTTTTTTAGGTAGTGTGCACCGAGAGCAGTTTAGAACGACTTTCATGTGGACATGATATGGAAGTTCCTTGTTCTGTTGGTACCATTAAAGAAATGATCTGTAAGGAAAGTGTTGAAAAATGTCTTCCATGCGGCCATTTCATAACCATTGCTTGTCATTTATCATCTGAAGGAAATATTTTTTGTGAAAAAATGGTTGAAAAAGAGTTGAAATGTGAACATGGTTTTCAATTGGAAAAATGTTCTACTCCCACCAATGATATTGTTTGTAAGAAAGAGGTAGAATTATGTCATAAATTCCATTGTAATTTATGATAAAATTATGATTATAATTTTAATAAAACTTTTTCAAATCTGGATTAGTCCCCCATAGCTCCAACTCCTAACATTAGTCCAATACAAAACAGCAGTAAATCACCATCTCAAATGTCTGATAGATGAGAATGATCTTTTTTTTTTATATGAATTCTATTTTATCAAACGGATACATATGATGAGCATGATTATCTCATAACTAACTTTTTTGATACTTTCATTTATTCTTGAATGCTGAAAATGAATTTCAATTTTAAGTTTAGTATTTTGTTTTCTTGCTACCCACAAAAGTAAATAGAAAGTATTTTTGAAGTAATTTAAAAATTTAATTTAAAATTATTTTCTATTTTCTACTTTATTTGTGTTTAAATTTTTATTTTGTCACTAGCTGATCCGGCCACGAGTTGCTGTGGCTCATTCCGGTTAAATAAAAAAAAAAGTAGAAAAGAAATTAGATGTTTCTAGTATATTTTATGTAACAATACTTGTATGCAATATTCTTTATGTTCCATTTTTTGTTTAAATATAGAGATTATCTGATTTTCCAACTCTAGAATTTGCAATATATAATTGTCTATATAAGAAGCAACCGGTCTCCAAATCTTCCACGAAACATTACTAAATGTTTAAAGCTACACATCTCTGCACCAAGTCATCCGATTTAATGATTTTTTTTTTTTGATCTGCAGAGAATAAAAAATCTTTCAAATAATGATGCGTATAATTGAACAAAAATTGAGTACTTTTTGAGTTATTCGCTAATATAGTTTTGAACTCATGGTAACTTTTTTTTCATACTCTTTTCTGGGAAGGATTTTAGATACATAAATTAAAAGGACTTCAAGGAAAAGACTTTAGCCAAGTTTAATTTAAATTTTTACAGCCGTTTAGGTGCTACAGTCTATAGTGACAATGGTTTTTGGGCCACCATTCTGAAACGAAAGACCGGAGGGTGATTAAATGTATATAAAAACACTCCTGAATGCGATAGGAACATTATGTCAATATTTCAAAGCGATTGGTGTAGAAGTTTTGGAGATTAGCGTTTTGAACAAACGAACATTTACATTTTTATTAATATAGATTGATATTTTTCCTTCTATCAATCTTGTCCACTATAACAACTTGTTCTCATGTTCTGTACCAGAAATTTTACTCTCCCTTCATAATTATATGGACAGTTTTAGCTTTTCTTTATTTTATCTACTTATTTTTAAAAAATTATCATGAGGAATATTTTTTATTTATGAAATTTACTATAAAATATTTTTTACATAGAAAAAAGTTATGTCTGATATCACAAAAGGATATATCTCCTGAGTATTCTTCCACTTTGCTCAATTGAAAAAAAATTATTTAGATTCAAAATGGTCCTCTAAAATTTCTGGCTCTATTTGTAAATATTACAGATACTTTCATGCTAAAATTCATTGAATATGACCGATAATAAAGGTTTTCTTAAAATGTTATTTAAAAAATTATAAATGTGTAAAGTCCTAATAGGATTTTTCGGTACTGTCAGTGTTAATTATACACTGAGAACATTCTAGATTAAATTTATTTGTGAAAATTTCTTCATTTCCTCAATTAAATTAGATCAGACATTAATTATAAAATGCAAATTCTATTGCTTCAGTTATTTCACTGATGTTACCTTCCACATTATAGTCAGTGCTAAAACATAAAGATGAACATATGTAGTGTAAAATCTTAAAGTAACAAAAATAAATATAATTAGCAATCTGAAGCCATAATAATATTCATTTGTACTGTAAAAATATTTTCTTTTTATTTTGAACTGATTGCAGGTAATCAAAACTATTGAAGAATGTGGTCACAAGATGAAAGTAATGTGCTATACGAAGTCAAGCAAAACTTTATGTGATCAGGCCTGTGAATTAATAAAACAATGTGGCCATAATTGCAGTGGTTTGTGTGGACGACCATGTCCTAAATGTCTAGAGATGGTTGAAATAGACCTAGTATGTGGTCATAAAGGCTTTTCTCCATGTGCAGATATTGTAGATATGAAAACATTGGGTAAAAGTGAAGTAACAACATTATTGTACAAGATACAAATTTTTGTAATTTAGCCATGTAATTTTCTAATTTAAGTATTAAATAAGTAAAATAAAACTACATAAAATTTAAGTTTAAAAATCTTTTTTCAAACAGGAAACTCTTTAAGTTTTAATTTGTTTATTTAATTAATTTATTATTTGTTCATCATACAGAATAGTTCTTAATAAAAGTTTTGAATTGAAGAACAGAACAATTAATACGAGGAAATCATACCGTAAAATATTTAATATAATATTTTTAACTTATTAAATAATTATCATGTTGAGTCAGGCACTCAGATTCATAACTTTGATTATTGGATAAGAGAGTAGAAAATAGTGTTGATATAAGAGGATTAGTAAAGAATATGGAAAATACTTAAAGAATCACTTCTTTCAGACTTTGTCTAATAGAGAGTTAATAAGAATAAAAATAGCTCAAATAATATTCATTTTAAGTTCTATTCAATTTATTAAATAATATAAATATAACTGTTTTCTTACTTCCATATTTAGTGAGTTCTGTTTACCTAACTTTTTTTATTCTTTATAAGATAATTGAAAAACTTGGTTCATTGCAAAGGTCAAAGTCATTTTGATCTAATAATATTTTAAATGATAGATAATTTAAAAACAAAATATTTTTTTTATAAAAATCAAAATTTAAAAATTATTAAAATATTTTACGTTGCAGTATCAGTTGATTGCATTGTTTAAGTGTTAGAAAATCAGTTACTTATACCAACTTCAATAAAAAACTTACGCATTATGTTAAAATGTAATAATTTTTTTAGTGAAATGCACATTGAGATTTTTTTCAAAATAAGTTTATTACTTTCTTTGATTGTTCGATTACATATTATTATACCTTTTGTGGTATATTTACTGCATATTATTTTACTTTTTAGGCCTTATTACAATTTTTTTTTTGTTGCATATAAATTCGGGTGGCACTTATGATTATCTATCTACTTAATATTATTTATGTTTTAGATAAAAAAATGAACTTTGGTAGTTTAAACTGTGAAAAACTTTGCAAGTCTATTTTGAAGTGTGGTCATAAATGTGAGGGAACTTGTGGCAAATGTATGCAAGGTTGCATTCATGAAGCTTGTATTGTTACTTGTGGTGCAGTATTACTATGTGGCCACATGTAAGTGATCTATCTATAAACTGCAATTACTGTTTTTTTTTTCATATATGATCGCTGCAGGCAAGCTAAATGGTATGTGTGGTATAAGTAAAAAAGAAATGCTTTTTTTTTTAATGCAATTTATTATACTTAGGTAAATATTGAAAGGAACAAGTAAAAAAATAAAAAAAATTGTTTTTCAAAGATTTTCTGCTAAGAATTAATATTTTCAACATTTTTTTTTTTTCAGATGTTCCAATAATTGCAGTTCGAGTATTCATTTATGTGATCAAAAATGCTTAAATATTTGTAAACATCAAACTTGTAAAAATAAATGTAGCCAGCCTTGTCAAAAATGTGAGGTGAGTACAGTCTTATATCTTATTAATGTTACTTAATTATAACAAAAGTTTCTTTTCTTTATTATTTACCATAAGTAATTAAAACTTAAATGTAATGGATTTCACACATATGAATTTAAGTGAAAATATATAAAAAATAACACACTAGTAACCAGGATAAAGCATGTAAATATTAGAACCACCCAATTCAGAATGATGATTCAGTCTTCACTTATAAAAAAAAACAAATTGAAAAAGTTAAAATTTTTCACTATCTTCATTTTTCAATTTATAATGGTTGGTTGGAAGAAAAACTATGCAAATAAGTATCATTATCTGAAATATTATAAGTTGAGAACTTTTTTTGAATAAATACAGTTAAAACAAACCTCTATGCATCAAAGATCAATATATCAACAATCTCTATACATTGAACTTTTTAAAAAAAAATTGAACTTTAATACAAATAAATATTCTGTTTAATGAAATACAATTTTTATACATAGAACAAAAAGATACTATTAAATAAAATTTCTGTTTCTAATTTTTTATATAAGCCAACATTACATCAATGTTTTTACTTCCACAATTCTCCTATGACGTTTCGGCTCATCGAGCCATTTTCTTGTCCATTTTTTATGTAAAATACATACGTCTTCTCGTAATCAAACTTATCATATCTATTCGACCAGTCGCTCTGCAACAATGAAACTGACAACAGGTGGGCTGACACATAGAATAGAATAGAATAGAAGAATCAACTTTATTCTGGGACAAAGTCCATTAAGAATAACAATTTTGTACATAAAAATTAACATTCCATCTGTCAAAATACATATTACAATAAAAAAAAATAACTAAAAACTAAGTGATAGCAGAAGTATTTACCTTATTACATTTACATTACTGAACGTGACTAGACATCTTTTCCATGCTCAAAAAAGAATATATATTTATATTCAAATGATAAATAGAGAAAAATGGAATTTTATTACATGATAAATGGCTACCCAGTGTCTGATTGAATTGTAAGGAGGAATTGGAATAGAAGGGTTTTAAATATGGATAGGGATGGTGTATGGCAGATTTTAAGTGGGATGGAATTCCAAAAGGTAGTGGAGCGGATAATAAAGGAGTGTTGAAAGGAGGCAGATTTGTGGAAAGGGGTATAAAGGTCAAAAGGACGAGATATTTTGGAGAGGGAGTGGATAGATGACTTGAATTGAAGATTGAATGCGTAGAACAGACGATGATTATGGATTATTTGGTAAAGGAATGTACCTAGGAAATATTGTCTTCTGAAGGAGGGGAAGAGCCATCCTAACTCGGTGTAGTAGTGAGATACATGAGAACGTCTCAGCGTTCCATTGACAAATCTTACTAAGCCAATTTAACATAATATGTTAAAATTATAATTTTACATAATATGTTAAAAATAGATATGATGAGTATGATACTGGCTATTACAAGAAGACACATGTATTTTACATAAGAAATATAATGTACAAGTACATGATAGACTTAAAATGGCTCGTTGAGATGAAATGTCGTAGGAGGAATGTGGGAGTGAAAACATTGGTGTAATGTTGGCTTACATAAAAAATTATAAACGGAAAACTATACGATACCGAAATAAAATAAAATAATACTGAAAATTAAAAAAAACATACATAATAGTAATCAAAAAGGGCACTTAGTTAATGTACTTAAGAATGTATAAAATAAAAAAATTGATGTTTTGGAGAATATTGGAAACAATTAAATCCCTAATGTTTGTTAAATTTGATGAAACTTTATTGAAATGCAGTACCTAAAATAAAAATGATGTAGAGATGGTTGACCGTTGATATGATATGAGAAGGAATTAGTCGAGGGTGCGGTAAAAAAAAAAAAAAAAAAAATTAAAATATATAAATAATTTTAATTTTTGCCGACGTTTCGACCCACTTTGCAGGTCGTCTTCAGGGCGTTGGATGTGGCACTGCGGGAGGCAGTTGAAACACTCAAGACGACCTGCAAAGTGGGTCGAAACGTCGGCAAAAATTAAAATTATTTATATATTTTAATTTTTTTTTTTTTTTTTGACCGCACCCTCGACTAATTCCTTCTCATAAAATAAAAATGAAATACTAGAAATTATTTATTGTGTCTATACACTTCTCATAAAAATAATGAAGTAGTTATTGATTGGGAATCGGAGCATTCTGGTATTCCAAGTCAAGAAGAGGTTGAATAATTGGCCAGGAAAGCCTCTGAACATTGCTCAGTGAGCGTTCACCCAAAGTCCATGATATCAAACGAGTTGGGAGGGTTTGAGTGTCATGGGATTGTGGGTATTAAAACAAAAACAGTTGAGATTTAATGTTATTCTAATGGACACCACTAGTGAACAGACCAAAGCTAAGCATGCTCATCCAGGCCATTGGTCTGAACCAGTATTTCCTCCTTTATTGCAATACTTATTTTTGTTTTGTAAATTATTTACATTAATGGAATACATATTTGTAGTTAAAAATTGTTTTATTGTTTCTAATTTATTAATTGTACAAATGAGATGTGTTTTTATTAATGTGAATAGTTTGTGATGTATAAATAAATATAACAATAAAAGTGGTAGCACTGGTTCAGACCAATGAGAGCTTGGGCATGTTTCTAGCTTGGGCCTGTTCGCCAGTGTCATCCATTAAAGCATCATCAAATCTCGACTGTTTTGTTTCAATTTTTGTTCTACGATCTCATAACAATATCACATTTATACAATTAATAAATAAGAAATAATAAAGTAATTTTCCTAAAAACTATGTTGTCTAAGAAACAGATAAATTATAAGCTGTTTCTAGATGGTTTCAGTTTAAGAAAAAGCAAATTATTGCTTAATGTGGACACTGTATCTTTAAGTAAATTTACTTCGATCTATACAGATATATCAATATAATCAAGGGGTAGCCACAGATGAAGAAGACATGGACAACAATGAGGACCTTGAACCACTAGAAGTTGAAAAGCAATATGTACTGGTTGTGGAAATGGTAATAGACATTAAAGCCTTAAAACAAGAAAAGCCTCGGGAAGGGATATCTTATTGTCAGGGATGTTTAAAGGTGGGAAAGAAGACTCATGAGCCAAGCTATTATACATTTACATGAAAGACAAAGCCTTTAAGTCTAATGATACAGCCCTTTCTGATCATGCCAGTATGATAAAAAAAAATCAACTAATATAATAAAACTGTATACAGTTGTAGAGGTTAGGAAATTGTAATAGAGTCGTTTTCTTTAGCAGTTTTCAATAGACTTAAGCATAATTTGTATTCATTATTTTCTATTTTGCCTTCTACTTCCACTAGAGATGTTATTTTAATTTAATAATATGTATTAATAAATTAATATATCTGTTGTTCATATTTCATCATTTAACATATTGTATTTATAGAAACAATGTGAATGGCAATGTGAACATTTTCGATGTACCAAACTTTGTTGGGAAGAGTGTGATAGACCTGTTTGTGAAGCCCCGTGCAAAAAACTATTGCCATGTGGTCATATTTGTAATGGGTTTTGTGGTGAACCATGCCCCTTAGTCTGTATTGTATGTACTCCTGGAAATGATAGATCTAAATCAAAGTAAGTTCAACTAATTTAAATTGATAATTAGTATTTATAATTTCAATTCCTTACTCTTTATTTTCACTTTAACAAGTTCAACTGTTATTATTGTATAAAGTTGTAAATCTCAAAAAGATGTGCCATAAGCAGAATTTCAAGGCAGTAGGAGAATATTAGAGAGTTTGACCAAGTTTAATTATTTATGTTTTAAGAATCAACATGTCTTCTTGATCGACGAATCTGTTATCATAAATTAAATCGTTATTGCGGTTGTACCATAAAGTATGATGTTAAATATATTACATTATATTACAACAATGTTATAATTAACTATGAATGCATCTAAATAATTCATCTATTCCAAATTTAAAATATATATATATATATAATTTTTATTTACAGTTATATATTACTGGAAGACTGTGGTCATATTATTTCAAAAAATGAATTTTCAACTTTGATATCAACTACCATTGGACTGTTTATTTGCCCAAGATGCAAAAAACCTCAAACGTCTTCACATTATGTTAGGTAAAATTATTTATTTAAATTGATACTTTTTAGTAACATTGATTGCAATAGATAGATATAATACATATTATGATTAACTTTAATTGAGGCAATTAGTTCCAAAACTAGCTCAATTCACTAAATATATTGTAAAGATCATATTTTTGTATAAATTTAAAGTGATTAAAATTTATATTATTTAGAGTACACCAGTGATGCTGCTCAATGCTTATGCTGCCATAATTATTATAGCTATAAACTTCTTGTTAGACATTTAAAATCTCTAGGGTCTCCTTTTTCTATTTAGCACTTTAAAATTTAAAAAAATATTAAGTTATGCAGGTATAATCTCAATTTAAAAAAACAACACCTTTTTGCACTAGTGATGGACACCCCGAACTTCAATTCTTCTAGTAATAGACAGGGGGTCGGTACCAATAATAGACATACCTCAGAAAATTTAAAATTTGTATTTAACTATAAAGATAATGATAGTGATAACTGTTATGTTCTTACTGGGGTTCATCAATACAATGAAACTATGATCAGGGGTAGAGCACTTTATTACATTTAAAGTATTAACATTATGTACACCACATGTAACCTCCATGCTTGACCAAGCTACACTGGCTTAGCATCCTCTGGCCAAAAACTGTGTTGCCATAATCCACTTTCCAAACACAAAAGTAATAGTGGATAGTCCACAACAATAACATAACATAAATGTTCAACTTAATCTTAGCAAAACTATTAGTAGGAAGGTATGAAAAACACTGACCTCAAGAGCACCATAGAAACAACAATGATAGGCACTTTAAAGTTTTCTTTTGGTAACTTTGTTCATACAGTTGTCAATAGAGGGCATAGTTCTTCAATATAGAAAAAACTGAAACCTTTAAATCAAAAAGGAAGCTTATTGTTTACATGTAAAGTCCAACATTTCCATCACTGGGTTTCCTGTCCATAACTGGTGCATTCACTCTATATGTTTTAAATTATACAACACTAATTAATACAAAAGGAAAATTTATAAAATAATTTTTTAATGAAGAAATGTTACTTATATATATATATATATATATGTATAAAAAAAAATGAAGTAACATGTTATAAACACTGATTGTACTGATGTTCTAATCTATATTATTAAATCTTAATTAATACTTGAAATGGTATTTATGAATGCAAATAAAAAATGCACAGGAGCCGCAACACTATCAGATGCTAATCTCCCCATGTATGTCATCCCATCCCACTAAATTTAATTGTTTATATTCCTGCTAATATAAACAATTAAAATTACAAAATATATATATATATATATTTTTTTGCCAAATGTATTACGTTATTAAGCAAACCCATATTGATCAAAATATCCTCATCTCAATATAAAAATGTGTTAACACTCCTAGGTTTATCTGGGTCAAAATTGCCATAATCATTCAATGTTATTGGGTTTTTTTCTTTCAAATGTTTGATTATAGAGTGAAACAGTTTTAGAACTAGTTACTTCAATTAATAATTGAAATAAACTTAATAATTATTTATATATATTTCAGTGTTGTTGATTTTTTTCCAGATATTATACAAAACAGTGGTTTTTTTTATTCCCTAAAATTCGAAGAAAACACTTGAACCAATATAATAATGTAGCAGATTTAGTATTAGACTTTAAATCTTTACTAGGAAGAATACACAAAATATTAAACTTCAGATGTAAGTAATGTGTTTATTTTTAAAGTTATAACCACATTTCACTACATACACTGCCGCTCAGAACTTTAAGACTATCAGTTATTTTATTAAATAACATCATTTAATCACTCAAAACCTTAATTAATCTTACAATGAATGTACTATAATTATGGAATACCCTACAGTAACTGGCTTGTATTAACAATTAATTGCATTAATGAGATCATCAAATAATATATGGTAAAAAAGAAGATTGTAATATTTCACTGATACATCATTTGAATATCACAAAGTTGAAACAGTATATTCATGACGATAAAAAGTGTGTCTCATTTGTCTGAGGTCTTATTTACAGTGAGGTACATTTCGTAGGTGGAATTAAGATGTTTTTGTTTGTAACGAATATGAAGGTACATTGAAAAATATGATGGTCAGCTCAATCCTCAGACCTCGATCCTATCGATCTTCTTTGGCAAAAGCTTGACAGGAAGGTGCAAAGTCATGCAATGATGTTGCAGAAAAACCTTTGGGAACTTTTGAAAAGTACTTCGGATAATATACCATTTGAGACATTAGATAAACCCATTGCAAGAGTTCCAAGAGTGGTAAATGAAGTCTTGAAAAGTAAAAGAGAAGTTTTGAAGAAAAAAATGTATAGCTTTATTTTATTTTTTCATAATATATGATTCTTATCAGTGATATTATTTTTTTTATACTTTTGTTGAATTAAAGATTCATTTGAAAGAAAATTTTAATTTTGTGTAATTTATTCCAAAATTATCTTAAATTTTCTCAAAAATTTAGTGGTTCTAAACTTATGAGCGGCAGTGTATATCTACAAGTGTGAATTTATTTTATTTTTAATTCATATAAGTCATGATTGTTATTGTTTTTATAATTTTCTGTGATTTAACAATCATGTAAAATATATATTAATATTTTTAAATATATGGATAATTATCTTTCTGTCCAACTTTTATACTTTCCCTTACCTATATATGTAATATATAGTAAGGGAAAGTATTAAGATCATAACAATTTTCAAATCTGAGTTTTCAATGAAAATACAGGACTAAGTGCCACAAAATGGTTTGTGTGTGAAGAACAAAAAGCGCAAAAACAAAAAGTCATACGAAACTGAAAATATATATTGAAGTTAATTACATGCCTGGGTTATTACAGCAACTTTTCCCTTAAAATAAGCTAACCGGAAGTGCCACTTTATGTCATCAATTATATACATTTTTACAATTTTCTTAAAAACGGCTCTAATGATTTTGATTAAACTCAGTTTATCAATTTATAATTAAGTAGTCTTTAATATCATTTAGGTCTTATCTCCATTGATGTTATGATGTTGCTTGACAAGGCTTAAATGCCCAATGTTCAAAAGTTCTTCCTCTAAAGTACTTCTAATTTGGTTTATTTAAAATAATTAACTCTATCTCATTGTTAGTAGCTATGAAAAAATGCTAAATATAACTTTTGAAAGTGTTTGATAATCGAATAAAGGAGAAAAAAGGAAAAATGTTTATTTAGGTCGAAAATGAATCTCCGGAAATAATATCCAGTAGGTAAACATATAATTTATCGTTAGAAAGCGGAGAATTTTAGAAAAAAAAATATATCTAATATGGAAAGCTGTAGAAGTAATTGAGAGTGACGGATAATTATAAATAATAATTTCTAAAAACAAATATTATTTAACAGAAATCGCATACTTTAAATGAAATTTCCTAACTAAATGCAAACTTTTAAAATTATTTTTAAGTTTGACATAAAGTATATAAAACCTGCTAAATCAAGGCAATGACATTGTTTAAAAATATATTTCATTGCACTTGTGTGGAAAGAAGTGAACTATAAAAATATTTCACGGATGTATAAAACATTTGTTTATAACCTTAAATAGATATACTGTAGTTTAATAGCTCTAGATCCAATATTATATTAAAATAATTAGATATCTATTGTCAGTTAATTTCAAAAAATCATTATGTAACAATTTAGAAAATTAAATTAGTAAATAATTCAATGCATTTTCCACCTGTGAAATCACAACTTTTCTCCTATCTATGGCAGGCAATGAAAATCTTGTAACTCCATTTTATATTTTAGTAAAATTTATATAGACAAATAAGAGTTTAATGATTAATAGTCGTACAATCCATAATCATTTGTAGGTAAAATGTGCTGATCTACTTTCAAATCTATCTCTAGGCATAGATAGCTCAAAGGCTGGAGTTATGTGGTTTACCAAAACAGATAGAATTATGAGGTTTTAATTCCTTACCATCGATATAGTAAATAGGATGTTTGTTATTATAATGGTCCCAATGAATTGTTAGCTATAAGCTTTAAGTTTTAGCTTTGTTAAAAATGAACTTTTGAAAGTTTGTAATAACCCAACATTCCAGGAAATAATTTCAATTCAAGGTAGAGTGGTAAGTCAAGGTTGTGTGATGCGTATACCAGATTTTTTTTTTCTTCATTTATAACTATATTTTCAGCCTTTTGCTTATAATTGTGCAATATTTCAAGTGTATTAATAATATTTTCACATTTTAGTTAACAACTTCGAAGAGCTCAAACTGCTGTTAAATGGTATAGTAAAATCAATAAAAACAATATTATTAAAACAGAACAATGGCACTAGTATTGAAACTTTGAGATCATTACTCTTTGTTTCTTACTACATCAGTGAAGCATTTCAATTGATTCAGCAAACCAACCAAACAAATGATTTTGATTATCTTTCAAGGTTAAACTATCTAGCATCATATTTAAAGAAATGGGAAACTGGTATAAGCAGAGATCAGATGTATCAGTTCAAAGATGAACTCTTCAGATTGATGGTTATTTGTAAACTCAACGAAATTAAGGCAAAGATAATAAATGGTGCTGAACCCATCAAAAAGGTGTACCTCGATGAAGCATGGGAGTCAACTTGTGGATTCGAAGAGTTTGATGACAAGAAACAAAAGTATGTTGTCTCTTTAATAAAACAAATTGATTCAAATTATGATATAAATTTAAAGTTTCTTTCAAATGAATTTTTATCAATTTTTGAGAAGTACTACTCTCTGACTCTTCATAAAGAGAGTTGGAAAAAATGTAACAAAAATGGTTATATTTTTTACTCTCCCGATAAGGCTCTATCTGAATCAAGAGGTCTTACTTGTATAGATAGTCAAAGGGAATTATCATTTTAGTACTTTTTACTTATGAAAATTATACACACCAAAGTGTACATACATATCCAAACCCATTCTGTAAATTCTTATAAGAATAGATTTTATATAAACATTAATATAAGAGAGGAAAAAAAAACTCAAAAAGAATAATTGTAAGAATTGAAACATAAATGTCTTAATCTCCAATATAATTGTGAACAGTAAACCCAACTGCTATAAATATTATATATAACCTGAAATAAAATTTTATAAAACTTTGAATTGGGAAAAATTTCTGTTTTAAAATAATTTTAAACAATAATGTTTATTAATATTTAATAAACAATAAAATAACATCAATTACTTCATAGATATGATTTCTACGAGGTGACTAAATAGTCAGTGTTTTTATTATATTCTTAATAACTTCTTTTTTTTTTTTAAACATTTTCTTAAAATAGGTTGTTTAATAATTAATTTAAAATGGTAGTACGTGAGCTCTTTTCTTCCTTATATCATTTATTGATGTTCATTTCAAGGGTTTTCATCATATCTGTACTCATGTAATTATTAAAAACAATAATTAGATATATTTAGAATGTTTTATACGTTTATAGTAGATCAGGATTTTCACCAATGACAGTCTATAATTTTTATTATTTTATCTCCAAAGTAGATTTTGGTGTCCGTGCATCATATTCATATAGTAAAATAAAATAATAAAAGATTATAGAGACTGTCATTGGTATGATCTATTATTAAAAACATTAATTTAATATTTTGATCAAATTTTGAATATATGATAAGTAAGTCATTACTCATTCTATTATTTATTTTGTTTTTTTCCTTTTGCTAACATAGTTTGTTAATTTTATTTATAAATCATTTTAACAAAAGAGTATGCACTCTTATTAGTCCAAAAACCAACATGATTATGCATTATCATCACCTTCAGTGTTGATTTCTGTAAAAATCTAATAAATAAACAAATATATACTAAAATTGTCAAACGAATAAACAATAAAATCTTTTGTCAGTAAAAACTGATTAAAAGGGCAGGCATTTAATTAACATTCCACCGAGTAATTAAGGTTAATTAATTATGTAAGGATAAAAAGAGGTCATGTATTTACTATATTTTATAAGCAGATCATAATCATAGTACTGAACTTATTAATAAAAAAAAGAAACCTGTACCATTATAACACATGGAGGTTCATGGGTTCAGTACTTTATATATAATTACTGTTTCAAGGCTAACATTTGTACAGAGAGGTGATTGGGTTGAGATCATGCTCAACCACCAGGTTTTCTCCTTAATTAATTATTTGATTAAGAGTACCCACTTTATAGAGGCAGGGCGTATCCCAGGAGGATCTACTAATATTTCAGGGTTGATGGGACAGATGAAATAATTACCTACCCCTACTCTGAGGGGAAGGGGAGGGCGATGGTCGTTCTAGAGTTATAACTAAACCTGTTCTAACCAGAGTGCGAAGGTCAAGATTCCTTCCGTGGGTCCAGGCTGGATTCGAACCAGCGTCACTAGACTTAAAAATGTTAAAGTGGTCAACTTGACATGCTTGGCCTCACAACCTCACCTGCAGGAAGGTTATTGGCCTGAGGTTTTCTCCCTTAATTAATTAAGAGTACTCACTTTATAGAGGTTGTGTACCCTAAGAGGGTCATATAATAAAATATGTATGTATATATATATATAATATATATATATATATAATAATATATATATATATATATAACAAAAAAAAAAACCTGTCTAATGACAACCGATGGAGATTCTTGGGTTCAGTACTTTATATGTCAGTACTGTTTCAAGACTAATACTTGTACAGATAGGTGATTGGGCTAATATCATGCTCAACCACCAGGTTTTCTCATTAATTAATTATTTCATTAAGAGCACCCACTTTATAGAGGCTGGGGGTGTCTCAGGAGAGTCTCCTGATCCCAGGACCGATTTATAGCAGATGTAACAGAATAAATAATTTCTTGCCACAATCTATTTACCTGTGTGGTTTAATTATTACTTTTAATTATTACCAGCAAGGTTGTGTAGAGCAGTTATTGGATATCCAATATCATGCTCAACCACCAGGTTTCATCATTAATTAATTATTTAATAAACAGTACCCATTTTATAGTGTCCCAGAAGAGTCATTAATAAAATATATATCTAACAATAAATAAAAAATAAACCTGCATCATTAAAATTTGGGTTCAGTACTTTGTGTGTAAGTACTGTTTAACAGAATAAATAACTTTCAACTCCATCAGTAAATTAAATTAATGGTACTTCATGCTCTGAATTATATACAATAAGAGATTGTTAAGTATATAGACATCTAACATCTTTAAATAACTAAAATTTGTTCTATCTAGTAAAAACTATAAAAACTCAATATTTTAAATTTAAAAAAAAATGTTTCTTTCTGTTTTAAAATTTATTAAAATTGAGTTATGGGATTTTCAGCACCCACCCAAGATATACAAATATATTTATATTCATTGTAAACAATTTTCAATTACTATTACGCCTTTTTAAATTAAACATTACTTATACATTATTAAGTATATTAAATTAAATAATATTTCAAAATAGAGGTAATTTTTTGATGATCTTAAAATTTTTATTTATGAGGCAAGGTTAAAACAATCAACAAACAAATGTCACTAGATAAATATTTATACTTAATCTTATCAATATCCGGTATCATTAAACTGGCACTGTGGTTAAATGCTTTTACATTAGTGTTATTTTTGTTGTCTCTGAAAACTTCTGATCACTATTTCAATGAATTGTTTTTAACACAAAATAATTTAAATAAATTATTTTACTAGTAAAATTTTCTGTACATTTAAAGATATGCATTACAAGGGACCAAAAGACTAGATAATGGTAAATAAATGTTATATTGTTATAATAGAAAATAATTTTTATAAATAACCAATACAATAAGTAATTTTAAATTTTATTTGATACGCTTTTCTGTGTATAAACAATAAATATAAATAATTTATTATTTTTAAGCTCATCTTGAAAACTATTGGTGATTAACACCCAGATTTTGACATGTTTGTTTACAAATATTCAGCAAATATATAAAAATGTATAAATATACATTTAATTTTATAATGATAATTTGGTACTGCAGAGCTATAGGAATTGAAATTATGTAAATTACAATTATTTCTATATTATCATTTATTGTTATTTAATTATTTTTTAAGGATAACACCTAAACCTTGTGTAGAGATTTATCTTATTGTTATAAAATTATATTATTTGTTATTTTTTTCAATTTGTAATAAAACTGCTGTTTTCATATCTACATTTAGAATCAAAATTGTAACAAACATGTAAAGACAAATTATACTAAAAGAAACATGCATATTTAAAAGAATCTTTTAATTTATGTACAAGACATTATATTTTTAGAAAATAAAATAATAAATAAACATAAAAAAAACTTTATTTTATCATTTCAAGAGAATCACAAATAGTACAAGGTAATTTTAAGTTGCTAACCAATGATGGATACAAAAAATGTAAACAAAATGTATACTTAGTGGGCTGAGCCAACAGGCTACAAGTTACATAACAGGCAACTGGTGGAACTGGAAACCTCTTTAGGTGTTGATCCATTTTTATATAAACATTTTTCACTATTAAGAATTAAAGGTAAGTAATGAACAATATTTTAAGGTGTATTTTGACAGAATGTTAATTTGTCTATTGGATTATAATTCGTAAAGAATTTCTAATCATTTTATTTCTAAAATTCTTGATATTTCTCAATCTTTGATGAGTGTTGTTGAAAATAGATATTTATTAAATAATTATTTAAAATTTGTCAATCTTTTCTCTATCAACTCATGCCCGAACAATATATCCATTAGCCTATGTACTGTTTCTTACTGATATTTATTTCAAAAATATAGACATTTAATTCAACATTGTTATTTTCATATTAAATTATAATATTTTGTATTTTAGTTGGGTTTCGTGTTTGTGTCAGGGTACTTCCTGATTACTTCGTACCGTAATAACTAAGTTGAGTTATGAATCCTTCTTTGCTTATCATATATTTTCCAATAAATGTAACAGAAAAAATGGTTAACAATTAATATATACAATGTGTTATGTCAATAATTATTACATAATAGTTATAATTATAATAATAAAGTAATTTTGTACTCATATTTTATTTAAATATGAGCATAAAATTACTCAGACATGAGTTTTCATTTTACAACAAACAAAGTAAAAAGTTCATACAAAAATTTAAATATTGCATTTTTAATATTGTATTAATATTTTGCCTGACTTTATTATATAAAATTTCAGTAGAATTATTAATAGAATATGAGTAAATATAATAATTATTATCATTAATTAATAATTGAGATATAAATTAATATCAAGGGCAGAACCATTAATTTGAAGTATGAGATTAGCCTATGTTCCTGTAGAATAGATGATAATCCATTTTGAGATAGACCAAGCCTAAGTTCTCTGAGGCTCAAAAATTGAAATTTGGATGAAAAATAATGTGAATATACAGTTAATATATATTAAGTTTGCCGACGCTTCGACTCAATCATGTGGGTCATCATCAAGGTAATGGCTTGAAGGGAAGACAAGAACCGAGTTGTCTTCAAACCCATATGATTGGGTCGAAATGTCGGCAAACGTAATAAACATTAACTGCATATCCTGACTATTTTTCATCCTTACAATTTCAAAAGTCAACTACATATTCATTTTTAAAAAAGAATTTTTATTTCCACCATATCAATAAGAAATATATCTTTTTCTCAAGACCATAAGCTTATTTTCTTGTTCATTGTAAGGAACATTAACCAGCCAAAGAGCACAGTTTAATTAATTGATTCAATTACATTATGTCCATTCACATATTTAAAATTGAAAAATCAATAAACATTATAAAATAAATTCCAGGAATTAAAAAGAATTTTGCCTTAACTGTTTCATTTTAACTTTTGACTTATTTTACAAGTAGTTAATTTTACAAGATGCTATACAACATGTAATCAGCGTTGATCATTATTGAGAGAGGTGCTGCTGAATAAAAATTTTAATAATAAGGATTATGAAATAATTTTATTTGAGTAAATATCTTTTAAAACTTTGTGTTTTTCATCCATGATTTTCTAATTAATTATTTATGGTTCTACTGAATCAATTTATTTTAATTAAATCTAATTACATATATTCTGTACAGTTATTAAATCTCTATTCTTTACTTTTTAATTTTATTTATTAATATGCTGCGGATATACACAGGCTACCATCAATTC